GTAGACCAGGTTACATAGCATGTCGAAAGATGGCATGTCGAAAGATAGTTGCTATGCACGTAACACTGAAAGCGGGTGTAATCTTGGATTAGCGTTAATCGGCTTTGGAACAACCGGGCCCTGAACGGTGCACTCGATCTGGATTGTAGTCCATCAGTTCATTAACAGAGCGGAATGGCTATGAAATCCGACAAAGTTCTTTGTTGTATGTTTTTGTTCGGTGTTTGGCCTTGACCGTGCACAAAACACAATAGTTGTTTACTCCGTACTGGGGAACTTACCAAAAGAAACGTTTTGTTTACGTAATTCATGCATAGTGTATGAGCGCAAAACAAAAGATTGTGCACGGTCGTGGACCTTCCAACATAAATCTTGACATCTTTGTGTGGTCCTTTGATAATTGCCGGGCTCCATAACCAGTCCTCTCTATTAACTAAGATCAGTTTCACCACTCAGAACCACATCCTGTCTACAATATCAGATGCACTCAAGTCCGTTGCGCTTCGTGAGCAAAGAACGTTCTTCCTGTGGTTTTCCACCCTGCTTGGGTTGGTTATACTCTCTCAATTTCTTAGTAAGTGATAAAACTTAAAAATTAACCTGAAAAGATATGAAAAAGGAATTCCTTTTTACGATGGACTTCTCTCAGTTCAAAGCACTTTGACCCATCCTTTGCCTTTTGTTATCTCGAAATTAGAAACATACGTAAGTCAATGCAGGCTGAACTAAGCTTATTGCTTACGTTGTCCGTTCTTTAATGAGGTCCTTAAAGTTTCTGAATAAATTTTAAAAAAAATGATCCGCATTCCTGTCGAACGTAACCTAACTTTCCGCAAGAGAAACTCGTAGAAAATAATATTTACTGGTATAAGTACAAGATATGGGAATATCATTCAGCGGTGAATTAGGCGAAAACGAACGTCAAGGCAACGTAAATGTGATTCGTGAACTCTATTCTCTGGAGCGGAAAGTCTACCACAAGCTTGAAGAACAAGCATCGAAACTCTACATAAACGCGCACCATGACGAATGTTTGCCGATTGTTTGTGCAGTGGACAAGAAACAGAAGATATTACTGAACGTGGATTCGGTGTCCAGTGACGAGGTTACAACGAAAATAAATGAAATTCTTCATGGAGATTACCTTGAAGAACTCATCAAGTTACTCGCGGAGAAATTGAACAGTACCCTGGGAACCACAACAGCCGGTGAGGAAGAAAGCTTGTATACGCATGTTGTATTCGCCAATAAGAGTGTCCTTCGCATCGATTTGTTTGTTTATCATCGTCGGTTTAGACACACTGAAAAGCTCAGCGAGTATAATAACATTCTGGCCTATTTTGTGCAAGTCGGATTAGTGGAAATCATCAAAGCTCGGCCACAGGTTCTGATTTACGAACTTACAAGAGCAACGGACCATGCTAAACTAAACAATGCCTGCGAGAAGCTGGAAACCTTGGCAAAGTACACAGAACGATTAAACTACAAAGTGCAGCCCAGAGCTAGTAAAGTTCCCAGTCCTCCCACGGGTAAGTGCTTTGGGGTTAACATTTCTTGTTCCCTGGGAGATCCCAACGTAATTCCCTGCCCTTGCTTTGTACTTCAAATTGGAAATACTTTATCGCATATATAAATTAAACTTCATTTGAGATGGCTGGAGCACTTTGGGTCCATGTTTAATTTTCGCACCTGTTTGTGCTTTAAATCAGTGAATAAACACAACGTACCTGTCGTTTCAGTAGTTGGCCGCATGCCACTATAATTGCGGGTGCATTGATTCACTTTTCATGTGTCCATTTCCTTTCGTCACTTTCCTTTCTTTTACTCTTTGCAAACCCCTGAACAATGAAACATTTTTTTCTAACATAATCTGTTGATTACTGGTTGAGTTTCACAGCTCTATGGGTCAAAGACCATTTTATTGAATACGTTGTTAAATATACGTCAAGTTACGTTGACTCGACTGACAAGTACAATCAGGACAAACTGAATTTACATGGCAGCTGAAGTGGGAATGAAGGGGGTTATACGTGGAAGCTCTTTTCCCACCCCTCTCCACACTGGACTACAAAGTTTTAACCAGGGATAAAAGTATTTCCCATGGCGTTACATTCCGATAGTAAGCCGCCGCCGCCGGAAATAAGTCTTCCCCCAAACGTCAGGCGTAAAATCCTTCCAGTAGTAACCCTCGCCATGAGTTTATAGCTAAAGCTTGTGAAAATAATTCTTCCAGTTATACGCCACTATTGCCCGAGCGTCCTTTTTTGCATTTTATGTCTTTATAGTGTGCTAAGAGCTCTGTAATCGGTGCCTTCAAGGACTGTACGACTTTTTGTGGGTTTGGGGTTTACCATAATGGAGCCTTTTCGAAAGTTTCTGCCAAGTTTTAATTCTCTTGTATGCATTTAAACCAGCCTCTCTAACCTCGTTTGACAGTAAAATTCTGTTGAATAATCAACTTAAGCACGAGGTTAGTAAGGTTGATTTTAATACTTACAAAAGCATTATTTTATAATTGGCATCCACCGTATGAGAAGTGTCTATGTAGTATTATGGTATGCACTTAAAAATTTTCACTCGCAGTCATCCCTTCCAAATATAAACCATACATTTTTTGAAACGCAAAATTCCTTCCAACAATAAGCCCGGCTACTTCCCAATAGGGATCTAGATGGGGTTTACTGACAAAGTCTGACACTAACACTTCCCATCCAGACCCTCCCCTCCGTTAACCCCGACAATAAGCCCTCTTGAAAATCAATCTACTAAAACCCTTTTGCACCGAGTTAGCCGAAGTTCTGTTATCGAAATGATAAATAATCAGAAGCTTATCAGGTGATAAGCTTCAGATATAATCTATAGAACGGTTTTCTATCGAGTGTTGTAAAATCAGAACCAAAGTAATCAACCCCGCCAATCACAAAGGACACAGACAATCTAATGAACCAATCAAAACCCGAATTAAATGCATGCCAGACATGTGGTTGGTGCTAAGCGCGGGAAAACGTGTGCAAGCGAGTTCCGACTGGGTTTGGTTTTACTTGATTGGATGAAAAAATGGCGAGTCTTTTTAGCCAATCATGTACCTTAGTAAAGCAAACCAATCTGGGTAAAACCGCTCTACACTAAGACCCTGATTTCATTGTATTTCAGGCAACAACTGCAGAATCAGGGAGGCTGAAAGTGAGGAAAGGCACTCCAGCTTCCTGGACAAGTTAACCTGGGGATCATTTGGCAAACTCATGGCCTTAACAATCACGTTTGCAATCTGCTCTGCACTAACCGTGCACAAGTGTAATGTAGACTACCGTTGGAGCAGTTTAGCAAATCTGTTTTTCAGCATCAGAGATCTCAGCAAGAGACAGATGCCGGGATTGTACCTTTTATATTTTTGTCGACGGTAAAGTGTCATTACGCGTGGCAAGTGTGTTCGTGTTCAACTGAGGTACGTTATGGCTGAAACCGCATGTGAACCATGGAATATAGTTTAATTAAGTTTTTAATACTAAGCAATGCCTTAATAGTCTGGGAAATTGCAAAACAAGCGATAAAATCGAAGTTAGAATTGCATATACATTCTACATGCTGGTCACTATTTTCAGTGAATTTAGAAGGAATTTCCATTCCGTACGGTAGTAGTGATAACTTTCAGTTAGCCGAAAGAAGACTGTTTCTAGCGTATATAGAAAGCAACTCTACCTGAGACTGACAACTACCTCAGTTACAATACCAAGGGGGACATATATTAACCTTTCAAAATTACCTATTAATATTGTTTTCATTACTTATAAACGTATACATATAATTCTTTCCACTGTACTTTGTATGTTCTAGTGGAACGCTAAAGCGAAAGTACCTGCAAACCCAATTATCATAGTAGTTAACCAGTCCGAACACCAAGTGAAACGGGCAAGAGACGAATGCGCCGCGGGTAAAGGTGCTT